GGGAGGCTTTGTGCTTCCTTTCCCCCTTATTAAACACAGCTGCCTCCCCCCTGCCCAGTGCAGAAAGCCCTAAGGGCCCTGCTTAGAACCCCTTTATAAGCAAAAAGTGATTTCTTTATGAAAGCCTAAAAAACAGCTTTGGGATATTTCATGGAAAAATAAGCCTTTGTTCTCTATCAGACTCTACTTTCTTTTATCAGACTTTCTAACTGGAAAGTTGAGCTCAAGCTACAAAAAAAAGGTAATGGGAAATGTTAAGAACTGGCTGTGATTTAACTCTTTTCTCTTGGGATTACAGATTACTAGTTATAAATGCCAAGGAGATGCCTATTTCCATTTCTGATTCACAGCTCAGGTGTCCTTGGATTACCATACAGAAACATCTGGACAACCTTATGGGATAGAGTAATAGAAATGGGTGAAATGGCATACTGGAACCTCATTCCAGGTGAGTTTTCTAGATTACAGGTTACATTAACACTAAAAAGGGATGTCATCACTATTCCTCCTTCCCCAGCTCAGTATCCTCTGCCATCCCCTCTTCCTTCCATTTTGGTGTTCATCAGATGCTCCACAGAGCTGCTTCAGCACTCTGATTCTGTAAAGGACTCATCTCCGGCAGGGCACCATGACTCAAGAAGCCTTGTATAGACCTGCATTCTCACATTTTGCTCTGTGTGCCTGTGGTGCAAAAAAAAGCTATATTTCCTTCAAAGGGACAGCACAGTTTGAGGCATTCCTCTCTGGTGAAATAGCATAATAGGTCAGTCACTTATATCAGGAGTATGAGTGCTGGATTCAATGCTGCTCTTAGCCTGCATTCAAATCTGCCTTTCCTAATCACTAGAATTGCTGTATTTTTTCTTCCACTCAAAATGGCATCAGTATACAGAAAATATGAAAGACTCCTTCAACTAGACAACATGATCAGGGTCCTTCTGGGAAAGACAGCCCCCCCCCCCCCAAACCAAGAGGCTTGTGGCTTGATGTGGGGAAATACCTTTGCTTTGAATTATAATCAAGATGTACTGTGACACTATTCAAATGCATTCTGTGGAATAATATTATGATTTTATGCACAATTGATTTATAAAAGGTTATGCCTAGTACACATATACAAAATAATATATATTAGAACTGGCAAAGAATTTTGTTCAGTTGACTTGATACTATCACAAATCTCTTCTTCATCAGTTATTGTTTGCACTGACATCCAATGTATCATTTGTAAGGGCTCCCTGCTTCTGTCTGGCACTAGTGTTTGGCAGAAAAGAAGGCCACCCAGCAAAGACTGACTGCCCTAGAAATGGGATAAACAAAAGGAATCTTTTAGGATTACAATTAAACTGACAGAAAATAATTATTAGCTACCCTGTAAGTTATTGCTTCACCCTTTTTTTCCCCCATGTACTTTTTCCAGTGCCTTTTCTGCTACTGCCAGTTTCTTTATTCAATATGCAATTATTTCCTCCCACTACTTTACAGGGGGCTAATAACCTTAAAAAAAATTTCAAGGCCTTCAAGTTTTACATCTTGCAGATAACACATATAGACAGTCATGCCAAGATTTCACCAAATGAAGCACACAACCTCTTCATTAAAAAACAAACAAAACCCTAAAACAACCAACCTCCCCAACCCCAGAAAAAAACACCAAAAAGACCCACACAGCTGCTGGAATAAGTTTTACTTTTTGACACACACAAAAAAAAAAATCACAAACTATAAGCAGCAGAACATTTGAAACCAGAAATTGAGAGAACTGTTACATGATGAGTCCTTAAGTTTTCAGAACCAAGGCTTAAAGTAAATCCCTGGGTGTGGGGAGGACAGGAGAGTAGTTTTTTTATTACAACTAAGAAATAGATATTATGCAAGTCTGATTAAATTTATTCTCATGAATAAAGAACATCTATTTCCATAGCTGCTCAGACTCACTGTACATTCTAAAAGCTAATGAGTTTTCCATCCTATAAAATAGGATGGATACAAGAGGGAAAGATGGATGAAAATATTTCATGATTTTCCTTGACACAATCATATTGAAGCCCCTTGATTACTAATAATTTGGTCTTAGTAATTAACAACCACTATGGTGCAGTTTACTGTGGAACTATTATATACACATGTACTTTTTCAAAAGTTACATAAGTATGTGAAAATATTTGGTTTTTTGATTCCTCCAACATCAGCTTTCTTAAAAAATGCTTCTCTTGGGCTTTGCCAATGCTGCTAAGCAAAATCAGTGATCATTGGCAGTATGGTCAGATGTCTGGAATACCCTTCAATATGAAAACAGGGACAGCCTAAAAATTAAGTAACCTAGTGCATACATTTAAAATTTTTCCTTTCAAAATGGCATAACACTTTACAATATTTCAGTGTATCAAATATGATTATTTCTTCTGAAAAGCCAGATGCTTCTGCTTTTTGCCTATGTGAGGAAGAAACACACCCACCACCCATGCTGGTATGTCATTTTCATACAGATGCATGTTCAGGATGCAGCAGCAAAGGTATAGATACATCTAGACTTCTACAATTAGTGCCTGTCCATGAAACTAGATCATTCAGAGTGGTTAACATTCTACATTCCAAATACAAAGGTAGGTATGTGTGTGTATAAATATATATATATAAAAAAGCTATTACAATTCTAGAGTGCTATAAAATGGTTTCAGTAGAATTGTCATGTAAATTGAAAAGAAAATTAATGTTTCTTCAGACTGAAAAACAGAGTGAAAATTTGCCCCCGACTGGAAAATTCTGTACTCAGTCAGTGAATCTGTCCCGTTGGCTTCTTCCTGGTTACATGTCTTTGAAAGATCAGGGATGTAGCTCGCTGTCAAACATTAAGGGAAATGAGAAAGCAGCTCCTTACAGATAAGTCAACCTCTCTGCCAGTTTGTGTAATCTGAACTGTTTGTTCAAAGATTTGCTCCTGTTCAGCTGTACTCTCCATTCGCAACAAAAATCCTAGTTCAGTTGCAGAATCTAGAAAATGTATGGCCCCCACTAGCACAATAGCTAGGTTTGTCTAGCACACTGTGGTAGAACCCATTAAAATTTGAAAAAAACATAGCTAGAATAAATGCACATATTCTCTCCCCATCCACTCCTCTTGAATACATCAAGAAAACTTGATTTGCAGTGTAAGGGTAAGGCGGGGGCACGGCCCGGACTCCCGGCAGGGACGGATACACAAACACAAGGCACACCAGGGTCGATACTGCGCGTTTATTACCTCTGCGTCTGGGCGGGGGTTCCCCAGCGATTTCCCGATCGAGGCACTAATGGAGCGGGAGAGTCCCTGGCACCGCTGAGCGTCGGTCCAGGGCGAGGAACGCCGGGGGGGCACTATGTGAGGTTTTTATGGACGGCACACATGCGCAGCAAGCACATTGAGCTCATCGCTGCTTCCGATTCAGAGCCCAGGTGCAGCGCCACACTGGCACGGGCTCGGCCGTGTGACTGTGGGTCAGCGTGCCCAGCGGATGCTCCTTTTCCCACGGGACGGTCTGGCTAGCTTCCATCGCCTAGCTCCTCGACCTTCCTCCGCGTTTTCCCGTACACACAGGCTTCTAGTTTTGCTGACTGACTGCTCAGTTTAGCTCTTCAGAGATGTCCCATACTGATGCCATAGAGGAAGGGACTCAACACTGCTCAAGTATGAATTCATAGAGCCTATAAGGTCTGTCTACATGGGATGCTCAGTAAAATTAAATTTAATTTGTACAGTGGATTAGTTAAAAAGCAAAAAATTTTTGTCAATATTCTCACAAGAAATTAAGAAGCAAGTTTAATGTAGTTTAGGTTAATTCACTTCTGAATGGGAGCAGTCACGCAAGTACTTAACATCGTTTAAATGATCCTCACACTGCTAGTGATTTAATTAAATTTAATTAAATTTACTCAAGTATCTACATGTAGACATTAGAAAGGAAATGGTCTTTAACTACCGATTAGCCTCTCTAAAACATGAGCACAACTTAGCTAGCTTTGTCTAATCATAGGAATCTTCTGTTAACGAATGAAGCTTCTGATGTACTTAGTTGAAATGTAGTCCTGCATGAATAGGTTTAGGGGGGGGGGAGAATTACCTCTTCCTGAGGGATGAGCAAATGAATTATAATTAGGCACATATATTACTGTATCTACCAAAAAATATGCTGGACATCAGAGGAAACTTATAAACTGCACAATTTTATGAAATGTTCAATTTCTATATTTACACTAAAATTAGTACAAAATTGCCTTTTAAGTTTTCTGTAGCACAAGACAGTATCTACTGGATTTGATACTCTAGTATGTATATTGACTACTTTGAAGTACAAATAAGGGAATCTAGAAAGAGCTATAAAGAATAAAACATCATTTTCAAACTATACATAGTGTTTGCTTTTGCTTATAAAAAGGTACTTACATCCCCCAAAAGGTTTTCAAATAGATCACTTAATAAGCAGGGGAAAAAAGACTGGTTGTTGGTACTAAAGCCTTCACTATAATAAACTAAATATATTTACAATTTATACAAATGTTTGACCTTCAACAAAAATACAAAAACATATCACAAGATGCAAAAATGGGAAACAAGTTCATCTGAGACACTACTGCTCTACACAGGGCAGAATACAAGCTGAACTGCAAGGAACAGAAAGGTAATCCCACATATTCAGGCAATGAGAACAGTTTGCATGAGGTCACAAAGAACGAGAAAAATAAAAGGCTCCAATATTCTTCAGCAGACTCAGTTTTTTAAAACTATGTCAAAAACTTAGGCTACATCTGTCCATCTTGCCTCTGTGTTCTGTTTGGTCCATGTAGCCAATATTTAGTTGCTGGATGTTGCCTTCTCTTTTGGAGAATCGGAGTAGTTTCATGGCAAGGTCTGGAACCCCAATACTTTTGTTCCCTTTTAAAAGGCAAAACCTTTAACTTCTACAATTAAGAACAACTTTGGCCCAGTTCAGCTTCTAAAAGTTACATCCCCATCAAATTTTTCAGTAGATAACTTCATAGACTGTAGCCTTTTTGTCTCCAGAGCCAGTGACTATGTATTTATCATCCACAGAGATGTCACAGCTAAGCACTGATGAAGATTCTTTGGACTAGAAGAAAAATAGAAATATATTACATCATTAAAAAAAAAAGTTTGTTAAACTCACCTCAGCATCCCACTTTGGGTAACCACATAGATGAAGGGATGAGGCCACTCTTTGGACTCTTCATATTCTAGATTTTTCTTAAAAAGCATCATCATCCTTACCTGGAAGATGCTGGCACCATAAGGAGTTCTCCATGCATTAAGAAGGTTATCTTTCCCAGTACTCACAAACCATTTACCTAGAATATAAAACAGAGGGACTATAAAAACATATGAAATGGACATCTGACAGATTTGGGATTTTCAACTCACATCTATGAGATGTTAGTTAGCTAATTAATTAGTTAGTTAACTAATTAGTCAGTTAGCTGGTTAATATTCAAGTATCACTTCCTCCAGGCTCAAGATGGGTGCATCCCTCTGAGTAAGAAGTTGAGCAAAGTGGTCAGGAGACCTGCATGGATGAGCAAGGAGCTCCTGGCAAAACTCAGACATAAGCAGGAAGCGTCCCTGCTTCCACCTTCTGTACAGGACACTTGGGAGGAATACAGGGACATTGTCAGAGTCTGCAGGGATGCGACAAGGAAGGCCAAGGCCCATTTGGAATTAAACCTGGCAAGGGATGTCAGGGACAACAAGAAGGGGTTCTTCAAATACATCAGTAGCAAAAGGAAGACTAGGGAAAATGTGGGCCCGCTGCTGAATGGGGTGGGTGCCCTGATGACAAAGGACACAGAGAAGGCAGAGTTGCTGAATGCCTTCTTTGCTTCAGTCTTCACTGCTAAGGCCAGCCCTTGGGAACCCCAGACCCTGGGGACAAGAGAGGAAGGCTGGAGAAAGGAAGACTCTCCCTTGGTCGAGGAGGATCAGGTTAGAGATCTTTTGTCCAAACTTGACACCCACAAGTCCATGGGCCCCGATGGGATGCACCCACGAGTGCTGAGGGAGCTGGCAGATGTTATCGCTAGGCCACTCTCCATCACCTTTGAAAGGTCCTGGAGATCAGGAGAGGTGCCTGAGGACTGGGAGAAAGCCAAGGTCACTCCAGCCTTCAAAAAGGGCAAGAAGGAGGACCCAGGGAACTACAGGCCTGTCAGCCTCACCTCCATCCCTGGACAGGTGGTGGAACAGCTCTCCCCCAAGGTCCTCACGAAGCATGTGGAGGACATGGAGGTGATCAGGAGTAGTCAGCATGGATTCACCAAAGGGAAATCATGCTTGAGCAATCTGCTAGCCTTCTCTGATGGAACGACTGGCTGGCTAGATGAGGGGAAAGCAGGGGATGATGTCTACCTGGACTTCAGCCAGGCTTTCAACACTATCTCCCATCACATGCTCAGAGGCAACCTCAAGAAGTGTGGGCTAGATGGGTGGAGAGTGAGGTGCATCGAGACCTGGCTGAATGGCAGAGCTCAGAGGGTTGGGATCAACAGAGCAGAGCCTAGTTGGAGGCCTGTAGCTAGCGGTGTCCCCCAGGGGTCAGTCCTGGGTCCAGTCTTGT